CCCCAAAACCCCAAAACCCCAGCAAACTTGAGTAGTTTGGAAATCGTAGAAATCAGAATGATTCTTAATTAATAAGAATACTTGTCTGTAAATTATTTAAAATTAAAATTAAAGTGTTAGTTCAAAATCAAAACATAATCAAACCCAACACTGTGAATTGATGAAATAATCTTGTTATTTAAAAATTTCCAAAACATCTTCATTGATTTTAGTTTAAGGCTTTGTTTTCCTGAGAAAAAGGCAACCTTAGTCTCTAGCCTTTTTTATAAGATTTTTATCGACTAAATCATATGAAGCTAAATATGATTTATTAGTCCAATCAGCATAAGTAACGCATTTATTGGAAATTTCTTCTTGCTGGCCAAAATGATTTAGTAAAGTGCCAAATAAAGCTTCATCTGGAATCCACTTCTAAGTTATTTTTTTATTTAGAGACAAAAGTAAATATTCCCACCTATGTCTCTGTCTTAGTAATACAGATACATGCTTCCTTGTTAAAATGATCCACTAATGATGTTTTACTATCTAAGATCTCTCAAAGAGCTATTCTAAATGATTGTATTTAGGAAAAATTTCATTTTTATCTGAGAATAATATACGAGAATTATCCTCCTTAAATACCATTTCATAAATTTCATCAAAATTATATAAAGGAATGCATGATTGGCTTACAAATACAAATCGATGATTTTTAAAATCAGAAAATGAGTAGCCAATTAAAGAATTCATTACAAGCCAGAGACTTATATCACCCCATTAAGTTAGTATTTCGGGTATTTTTATGTGTTAATTTTTACTTTTTATATTTAAACTTTTTTCAATATCGACTTTCTTTGCGTGATAGTAAATAGAGTACTTATTTTAGTCTGCATTTTCAAAAAAAATATCCCAAACTTGAGGATTGTTGACTTTTTCGTAAACCATAAAGAGAAAAGCAATTTTAAGATGTAATTTTTCTTTTTTTTGAATGAGACACTAATTTAAATTTTTCTCAAAAAAATTTATTGAATTTGAGGATTATTACTCTAAATTGTTCATACATTAAGTATTTTATTCAGCTCAAAGCTTTAGATATGGTAGAATGACTAGCATAATTAAGATAAAGAATCTTAGTTTTATTAATACTAAGTTGTTGACAAAAGACATATTTTATTAAATATTTTACAATAAAAGTATTTAGTTAAATCAATTAAACATTGTAAGAACTTAGACTAAACTAAATTGTTTTAATTTTACAATCATGGGGTTTTGGGGTTTTGGGGTTTTGGGGTTTTGGGGTTTTGGGG